GGAACATAGCCTGACAGTAAAGATATATTCATCATATTTAATACAGGTGTAATTAATTAGGGGTGCAATTTCCTTGAACAGCTTAGATGGAACAGGGTCTAAGATACAGGTAGATGCTTTAGAGCAGGGGTGCCCAACCTTTTTTAAACCGAGAGCTACTTTTAAAGTTGCCAGTCTGCCGAGATCTACCAGTCCAAATAGAGGTGTAGCCATTACTGACAGCCTCCTACCAGGTAAATACACACTGACCTTTGTACGATGAATACTTCATAAAATACTGCAGATCCTTTATCTTACCTCTTTCTAATCTACACACATACAAGTATTTAACTGAAGTTACACAACAGTGTTGTTGATACAGAGTTGGAGTTTATTCACACGTCACTACAGTGGGTCATGTTTTCAAGAAACATTGAACAGTGCTGCCACATATGACACAGGAAGAAAAGAAAAGATTCTGAACCCTTTCTTTGCCATTATATAAAAATAGTGTTGCTACAAAAGTATAAATTAGGCTTACTAATAAGACAACTCAGATCTGAAGCTACACAGGAATCTGCTGCCAACGTGCAATAAAAAAGACAAAATTAATAGAATCAAACCCTTTAGGATGCAAGCAACACTAGTTTCTTAACCTGAATTGATAATAGACTATAATCAATTTAAGTTTGCATTCTTATACCATTTTGTACAATAATTATAATGAATAAGTTCAAACAAACTAAAACTTACAGATGATTAATAACGGTATCTAACTTGAGTGTTTATTATATCAAAAAACCTGTTGAAATGCTACGGTTATTTTTACTGTCCCCAAAAAGCGCGTCGGCAGCCTCCAGGAATGCTTCTTTCGCAACTTCGCCGTCTTTGAAAGACTTCATGTGTTTCGCAAGAACCTGACTGACGGTACGTCCACACAGCAGCTTTTCAAAAATCTTGAAAATCTTGGAGCTGGGCGTGTCTGACAGCTTGGGGATTTTTTGCGACCAACAACCAATCACATGAATCTCCCGCCCCCGACATACAAAGCAAAAAACCCCGGGGATTTTATGCGAGCAATATATATATAAACTCCCCAAACAGGCGAAAACCTACCAGTTTCACCCACTGTCTCTGCCACCCAGGGCCGCCCCTCCCTACAGGCCAATCACGCAGGCTGCATGGGGCCCCGCCTTGCTCAGGGGGCCCCGCCCAGAGGGCCTCAGCTGCTGTGCGCAGTTCTCCGCTCAGTTCTCCGTGCACCCCCCGCGAGAGTGAGAGGTGACAAGGAGAGCACGTCTGTAACCCGACACCGTTGCAATGAATCGACATCTGACCAATCACGGCTTTGATACGGCCACTAGCGCAGGTGAAGAGATGTCGGTGAAAAGACAGTTTCAGTCCGGCTCAAGCAAGAGGGGAAACAACTAAACCATGAAGAAACTAGAGCATCACTCGAAGGTGGGTTATTGTATGAGTCAAATGTACAACTTGCGAATGTTGTATAAGTCAAATTGCCAATTGCCATATTAAAACATCCGCTGAAATTCACAACATGAAGAAGGCAGTCTCTGCAGAGCATATAGGCTAATGGAGATGCAGTTATTTCCAGCATTCTTTATTTAACATTCATTCAAGTATTGTATGCCTTTTATCTGCTGATGTACAGGAGGAGGAGAGATACACTGTCTGTCTAGTTGGCTTACATAACAGTTAAAGTTTGCAGCCTAAAAAACATGGAGCATTTTTTCCCCTTTTATTCATTTTTATGTCAATTTGCACATTTCATGGTGACGCTCAGCCTCTCCCTTAAGGCAAGGCAAGGCAAGTTTATTTATATAGCACCTTTCAACACAAGGCAATTCAAGGTGCTTTACAAAAATGAAAGACTTCCAGACAAAGGCATTTAAAAACAGTAAAAGATAATAAAAGAAACATTAAAAGAAAAAATACATGAATAAAAAGCACATGAATAAAAAGTACATGAATAAAAAGTAAACTTTTCCTCCTAACAGTCATCATCATGTCAATCACAACACAGAGAAATACTGATAGAACTGATGTGTGTGTAATTGTTGATACATTGCTGACAGAGGGAACTAGAATACAGATTTAAGAAATATCAGTTTTTGAGCATGTCATAAGCATGTTTTGTCTTGACTATATTACATGTATATTATAATAAAATATAGTATTTATATTATTGAATTGATTATGATTATTATTAGTAGAAGTAGTTTATTTGCATTCATTATATTTTAATCGTTTTGAGGCTAGTATTTGGCAGGTAATGCGTATTCACCTGTAAACGCATACTGAACGACATGCATGCACATTTACCATTTACCTCACTGTATAAAAAAGTAACTGTGTTGATAATAATAATAAACAGGAATTATATTTGCAAAGTAGCCTACTTTGTTTCCAAAAACAACTGTTGGTTGGGGGGGGCCTCATCTCACAATGTCGCTTGGGGCCCCAAGTTGGCCAGCGGCGGCCCTGCTGCCACCTCCCTCCATGCCTGGTTCCTCCGGTTTGTATCCCGTTAATAGTTCTGGTCGAAAAGAACCGGGTGATTTGCTACCGTAATTTCTCGTTTGGAATATGAGGAAATGAACTGCGGTCTGGTTCTCCCTGCTTACACGCGGTTTGATTGGCTAGCGCTTCTACTGTCAGATTTGCATAAACGGGATTTGATTGGCTGACGTTTCCAGCTCAGCTTCAAAAGTTGAACATTGCTCAACTTTTGAATCCTGGAAATCCTGGAAATCTTCGCTTCGCTCCCCCACAATGCAGTTCGGCAAAAAGCGAGGCAAAGTGACGTCATCCCCATTCAAAGTCAATGGGCAGAGAAGCGTTGGAAGCGTTGGAAGATTTGTTTAAAGCTGCTGTGTGGACGTACCGTGACACGATAAGATGCTCCGGTAGCAGCCTTGCTCTTATTGTTGGGCCTGGTGAAAATGGACTGCTGTGCATTTAGCTGTCCTTTGAGGCCCCTCCCCTTTTGGGAGCGTAGGGCAGAATTAGGAGGGAATTCGTCTCGTAGCGTTTGTGCACTGTTTTGAAATGCCGCTCCTAAATTACCCTTCTTCAATAAAGCCACGCTCGCATTGCAGATGAGACAGATGGACTTTGAATTGGAATAGATACAAAAATAATCATCCTCCCACTCGGAGTGAAAATTATATATTTTGGGCTTTTTTGCTTCTGCCATAATTGCGGTCTTGTGTGTGTGCGGACTGTCACTCCTGTTGACCATCCATGCTGTTGACACGGACAACGTCAGCAAAATAGTGCCCACTGCCCACCAGCCACGCCCCGACACATGGGGTCACGCCGGCCAATCACAAAGCTTTGATGCGTTCAAGTGCATTATTCTGGCACAGGAAGATGATGTTATAGGCAGTGGCGACTGGTCATTAGGGGCAGGTGGGGCACAGCCCCACCTAGTGTCAGCAGAAAGTATTAAAAGTAATGATTACAAAAAAATGCAAAAAATAAATTAAAAAATATATAAAATATATTTTAAGATCATGTTTATTCATCTGATTTGTCTGTACATTGCTGTTTTAGTCTGTGTTCTTCTAATTAGTGTCTACAGTGTGTGCCTATTGAGCTGTTTTGAGCCATGTGGGACAAAACCCGATCCTGCCCCTCCCTCTCCCTGTTTAAGTCAATGGTGACTGTAAAAACTACACTGCGCATGCTCAGAGTATTGTCCTATTTAATGTGTGTGGCAACAAAATAATGACCATAGGGGCATAGTGCTGCCATCCCCACCATACGTCATCTCACATAATTCAGAGCTGATTGGCTGTAAGTACGTGTGCCGCGAAAAGTGTGGTGTGTGAAGAGGAGGAGAGAGAGCTGCAGTGAGGCGTTCTAAAACCCGGAAATAAACTGCGCATGGCTTCCCTCCACAAAAAAGCAATGATATTTCTCCATAGGATTTTAGAAAATAGCTCCAAATAAGATCTGTGGGAAACAAACCTGTTAGATAAATGCACGTTTTGTTCAGCCGGATAATATCCACATGTCTACCCTACTTTTATAATTTTCGAATCATAAATCTATTGATTAGATCAGATTTATGATAGACTTTTGAAACTACAAGAACATAAGGAGGACTTTTACAAAAAAGTAATAGAGATTTTTGTCCAGAAGGATAGGCAAATGGACTTCATCTTCATGTCAAGGTAAGACTGCAATTTTACGACCGCCATGAAAATGGGATCTTACTAAGAGAGAACAATTCAATATTTAAATGATAAAATTACATTTTTTGGGTATCCTTTTGTTGAACTGTCTGTTTAAAATTAATTGAAGCATCAGACAAAAAAAAGCTTTTGAAAATAATATTATATTTTGATTTAGGTCAAAATATAATATTTGTAAACCTGAAGAGTCATAGCCTCACCAGGACATGAACCTCACTGCAGAAGCTTATATATAGACATCTAAGTTTTTTGTGCCCCACCACTTTTGTACATATAAAAACGCCACTGGTTATAGGACATTAACGATAAAACAGAATATTGTTGTTCTATTTTTAGACACATCTCGACCGGGGAGATTCCCAGTCGATCGTGATCGACTGGTTGGGCACCCCTGGTTTAATGTGTCATACCCACTTAACGAAACTCAGCTAGCTGACGATACAAACCATTTTTACCAAAACAAGTTTGTGTGTGTGTCTGTGTGTGTGTGTGTGTGGTTCGTAGATCACGGTGTACGAGGGGGAGATGGAGCGAGCTCAGGGTCAGCTGGAGGTGGAGATGCAGAATCTGGAGGAGAAGAACCGGGTCATCGAGGAGGCGTTCGTCCGGGCGAGCGAGATTAAGGCGGTGCACGAGAACCTGGCCGGTCAGTGTGTGTGTGTGCGTGTGTTTCTGTGTGTGTGTCTGTGTTCTTCTTCGTTGTTTTGTTTTCACTCTTTCTGGGGTTGATGACAAAACCAAACACAAGTCTCACAACAAGCGTCTAAATTAGCCCTCAGCGAAAAAAATGCCAACGCACATAACTCACGGTAGAAATACTTTATTATACTTATCGTAACTGCACATACAAGATATCAGATTAAAGCTGAGATTCCACAGATTCTAGAAGTATTAGTATCATCACTGCGCGATCATTACCTTTGCTGAGTTACATGTATTTGAAAACGCTGGGGGGTATAAATTACCTTGTAAAATGAATAGTCTAGTGTTTCAAGTTAGCTTGCTTTTACAAACATGCAGAACGCACAGTTATGGTACATTGTAGTGGATCAAATGAACGTAAATCCTCTATGCCTCTAAATTAATAAAACATGCGGTAAAAAAAAAAGAAGAAAGAAAACGCGCCGCCTGCCGCCATTTTAGATTCGAATTTTCCAGAGAACTTTTGCAACACAAACGTTCCACTATGAGATATAACTTAAAACAATATAAAAATACTGTCTTAAACGTAAGTTAAATCATTTTTCAAGTGAGGCAGATATTAAATGTAGGCTAGCTACCAAGAGCTCAAATCAAACTAACACACCATGCCACACAAAGTGAAGGATCACGATTCCGGCAGTGAGAGCACGGTGGGCAAAGTATTCTTAAAAGTCTGAGCGATTTCAACCGAGGCGAGGAGTTAATGGCGGACTCTGGTGAAGGCATGGGTGATAGAACGTCTAGGCACGTCGGGGGCGGAGCACAAACGTGATGACGTCAGACCAGCGTTCATAGTCATCAGAAAATTAGCGGTGAATTAACGTTTTTAAATGTTTGAGTTAAAACAACCCATTTTCTTTCAGAAGGTTGTAATGTTCGGTCTTACAGTGTAGATTAAGACGGGTATAAACTCTGAACTCTGAATGAGCTGATTGCAATCTGCTGCAAAACACAAACAATAGGCAGGAATGTGAGTCTGTTTCAAAGGCCTTTTTCTTTTAGTTTGGTTTGATGATATAAACAGAATCAAACTGAAAACATCGTAAATATTCTCTATATCAATAAGTCATTGGTTTTTCTTTTAGACCAGAACAGACTGATAACTCAACAGGAACTATCAACAACATCCCAATGGAAGTTTAAAGTCACAACATTTCATTAAACAAACAGATTATTAGAGAAACTACTGCAGATTAATCAGTCAGTGGTTATAGTACACATCAGAAAAGTAGTATGACAAAAACATTAAACATATTCAAAACTTCTGTTGATAAAGATGGAGTTTATATAAAGTCATATATGAATATTGTCAAACAGAGTTTATTCAGCCAGACAGATTTTTCTCATGTGAATTGTCGAAGGACTAATGAATTGTCCTGTTTTTTTGTTGCACATGCAGATTTGACTTGAAAAACGTCAGGTTCAGAAGAGTCTCCAGGGTTGTCCTCAGTCTCTGGTTGTAAAAGTCTCTCTGGATCTGAATTCCTGGCTGGTTCTGGTCCGCCACAGTCCTCTCCATCAGCTTCTGTTTCCATGTGTTCAGCTGAGCTGCTGGCTGGAGGCTCTGCCTCTCTGTCCTCCTCAGTTTGAGTTTGATGAAGCTGTGAGGACTGACGACCAACACACTTATGGCTTTTGACCTGACGACTCCAAGTGAATATTTTGTCACAAAAACCGCAGCTAAATGGTTTCTCTCCAGTGTGGATTCTCATGTGGCATTTTAAATCTCCTCTCTGTGTAAAAGATTTCTCACAGACTGAGCAGCTGAATGGTTTCTCTCCTGTATGGATTCTCATGTGTCTCTGTAAATCTCTTCTCTCTGCAAAAGATTTCTCACAGACTGAGCAGCTGAATGGTTTCTCTCCTGTATGGACTCTCATGTGTCTCTGTAATTCTCCTCTCTGTGTAAAATATTTCTCACAGACTGAGCAGCTGAACGGTTTCTCTCCTGTGTGGATTCTAATGTGGTCCTTTAAACTTCCTCTCACTGCAAAAGATTTGTTACAGACTGAGCAGCTGAATGGTTTGTCTCCTGTGTGGATTCTCATGTGTGTCTTTAAATCTCCTCTCTCCGCAAAAGATTTTTCACAAACTAAGCAGGTAAATGGTTTCTCTCCGGTATGAATTATGATATGTCTATTCAGACTTGACTTGCGGCCAAATATTTTCGCACACTGAGAGCATCTAAAGTGTTTCTTTCCAGTCCTACGTCTTGAATCACTGACATGGTCTTGTTTATTTCTCTGAGACTTTGAACCTGATTCTCTGGTCTTCTTCCAATCAGCACTGTCTTCAGTGTCAGGTTCAGAAGAGTCTCCAGTGTCAGGTTCAGAAGAGTCTCCAGGGTTGTCCTCAGTCTCTGGTTGTAAATGTCTCTCTGGATCAGAGCTCCTTGCTGGTTCTGGTCCTCCACAGTCCTCTCCATCAGCTTCTGTTTCCAGGTGTTCAGTTTGTATTTGATGAAGCTGAGAGGACTGAGGTTTCTCTTCATCATCTTCACTCTTCACAGGGACAGGAGTGAATGTGAACTTGATGATATCAGCCTCCTCCAGCCCTTGAAGCTGCTCTCCCTCCTGACTGATACAGAGTTCCTCCTGTTCCTCTTTAATGTGTGGGGGGGGCTCTGGGTCCTCCTGGTCCAGACTGGAGCTCCACTCCTGCTGCTCAGGGGGAACCTCTTCTTTAACCACCACCAGCTGCTGGAAGTCTGCAGGAAACAGGAAACACATATTCAGAGAAACTGTAGAGTATTAGAATTTAAAATCTAACCACGAAGTTTACGCCCACTGTGTATTTCTGTTGGCTCAATAGTCTGTCAATTACATATTTTTTCCAGATGAGGTGAGTTAGTACGGTAACTGATCTAAAATGTAGTTTCACTGCCGGTTAGCAAGGCGTCGGTTGTTGACAGAGTGTGAGGCCTTAGCCTTATAGTTTGTGACCCGTCTGCAGAGTCGTTATCTGAGAACTGGTGTTGGAGTTTCTCAGAGTAGTCGTTTAGCATCACTCAATACCTCGCTAAACCTGTACTTGGACTCATACAGGTGCATCTCAATGAATTGAATATCATGGAATAGTAATTCAATTTATAAAGTTTAAACGTATACATCACATAGATTCATCACATACAAAGGGATTATTTCCAGTGTTTTAACCTTGATGATTGCAGCTTACAGCTAATGAAAAGACTAAACAAAGCATTGAATATTACATAAGACTAGGGTTGGGAACCAAAACTCGGTTCCAGATGAGAACGATAAGAAAATGCTGTGTACCGGGTACCCATAAAAAGTACACAATTTCGGTGCTGCTTTACGATTCCTAAACGCGGTAGACCCTGTATTCCACCGGGTCCGTCTGCGCCGCGGTGACCCGGTGGAATACAGGGTAACCAGGGGCGGACTGGCCATCTGTGTGTTCTGGAGAATCACAGAACGGCCAGTCATCAGCGGGCCGCTGGCAGCCGGCTTGGTTCGCTGACGGCCGGCACCGCCCTTAACTTTTTTAAACGGCATCATGTAAGTTGCGCTGACAGGCGACAGAGGTCCACAGTTGCACTGCAGCGAGGCTCCCCACGCCCTCTCGTAGACAGTTCACGAGCTCGGCCACTTCATAACACCAAAGATGGTTCGCGTAAACGCTCTCAAGTGTGGCTCCACTACACTAAAAAAGAAAAAGACAAGGTGCAATTATTAACTTGCCACAGGCATAGCTCAGTTAAAATAAAGCAGAGCTATTGTGCAATACATCTGTATTGCATACATTTTATTTTATTTGTAAAAATGTCAGTTAAAGCTTAACCCTTAGATGCACGAGTGACTGGACCCTACAGTCTTCCATAAGTGGGGCTAAAAGGACCCGTATTAGAATAATATGTGTTTTTATGCCATGTTTGTCATTTTGGTTAAGAAAAATCACTTATATAATATTTAGTATTATATTTTGGTTCACATTAGAAATATTTAATATTTAACTTTTCACAATTTGACATTTTTTTTACATTTTGAAAAAAAAACGTTTTGAACACAGTTTTCCAAAGATCTCCGCTATTCTGAGACCCTCACAGTATTCCAGTCCCTTTTCAAAACTCCTCTCTTCTCCTCTTGTCTACTCAAAGCCCACCCCCCATCAGTCCATGCCGGTTGATCAAGTTTGATAGTCCTATACCCCCCACCCTAACCTTCCCTTATATTGTAAAGCAATTTTGAGTCCTTGAAAAGCCCTATAAAATATAATGTATTATTATTATACTGACAGGTATCAGATCTTGCTGTGTAAAATAATCTTCCTGAGAGGTGTCACTTGTGATGTCGTCTGTTTGGTCCTACAGTGAATGTATTCCTGACAGCAACAGGTGATAAGAATCAAAGGTTCCCAAAGGATTCCATAGAAAATGCATGCGAGTCATTGTTGACCCGCTTATGGAAGCTTGGGGTAGAAATACAAAAACTACAATTTCTTAAAATTTAAATTTAAAATGTGAATGGCATGATATCCAAAACATGTTTTTGAGGAATAGCTGGAATATGAAATGATAAAAAAATGTAATTACAAAGATACTTCAAGAAAACCACCTCAGCGGGTCCAAAAAGACCCACTTATGCATCTAAGGGTTAAAAGAATAAAGATATTTTTGTCCATCTAAACGTTTGACCTCTTTCTTTTACAGTTTGGAATCAAAACGGGGAATCGATAAGAACCGGAATCGATACATTTCAGAAGATACCCAGTGTTTCCCCTCGGTTTACTGCCTTGGCAGGGTGCTGCTCGGGTAACCCCCAAAACAAACAAAAAATATATATTTTAGGGGAAACACTGATACCCATCCCTACATGAGACCAATAACTAAGACCAATGATCTAAACATTCTGACTTTCTTCTCAAAATCCTGACCTTTTCTGGAAATCTATCAAATTTCTAACTTATTTCTGGAAATCTCATGATTACTTTTTCCTCAAAATTCGGACTTTTTCAGAAAATTTTACAATTCAGACTTTTTCCTGCAAATCATATAATTACTTTTTTCTCCAAATTCTGACTTTTTCCCAAATTGCTGACTTCTTCTAAAATGATGAAGTTTTCAGAAAATCTCTAAATCCTGGCCTTTTCAGAAAACCTCAGAATATTGACTATTTAAAAAAAAAAAAAAAGGTTCAGACTTTTTTTCTCAAGATCCTGTTTTTTTCAGGAAAGTCCCAAATGTCAGATTTTGATCTGTAACTCTAAATTCTGACTTTTTTCCACAATTCAGACTTTTAAAAAAATGCGGAATTTGGCAGAAAATCTCTAAATTCTGGCCTTTTCAGAAAACCTAAAAAACAAACTACCAGTTCATGGTGAATTCCACTGCACTCACAACATCCCAGACAAGGTAGCGAGATCGCCGGGATCTGGACTAAAAAGAACAACCTTCATTTCTCAAGAACGGGGAGTAAGACAAGGATGCTGTTTATCACCGGTCCTGTTCAACATCTACATTAAGGAACTGGCCACTATCTTAGAACAGTCCACCTGGGCTCACTCTTCACAGGGATCAGATTCCTGCTGTATGCAGATGGTCTCATCCTGTTAAGCCCGACAAAAGAAGGACTTCAACAGAGTTTAAATATACTGGAAGGTGACTGTCAGACCTGGGCCATGGCAATCAACATAAAAAAGACAAAAACAATGATATTTCAAAAAAGACCCAGATGTCAGGCAAACAATATTGACTTTACAATTGGGACACAGACAATAGAAAATTGCTCAGAATATAATTATTTAGGCCTGAAAATAAGTTCCACTGGAAGCTTTAATCAAGCTGTGAAGGAACTGAGAGAGAAAGCACGCAGGGCGTTTTATGCAATAAAAACTCAAATTCACATTCAAATTCTAATTCGGCTTAAATGACTTCAATCAGTAATACAACCCATCCTACTCGATGGAAGCGAAGTGTGTGACCCATAAACAAACCAAACATTTGACAAATGGGAAAATCATCCAATTGAAAATGCTCAGAATGAGTTTTGCAAACGCATCCTCCAGGTTCACAGGAGAACAACTAACAATGCCTGCAGAGCGGAATTACACTCAAAAAAGGACTTTGGCTGGCTGTTACATCAAATAAATGTAACATGTATTTTCAACGTAATAATTTCATGAACGTGATGAAAACATGTATGGTTTGCATGAATCGCAACAACTTCACATTTATTAGATTCATTCATGTTGAGATAAACTGAGACAAAGGGATTAGGGTACATATGATTCCCACTCCAGAGCAGAAGGTGGCGGTATAACCACCAATAAACTGGATACCAACCACAGTCTATGATACCAACTAATGTAAACAGAGACAAAAATCAATCTACTTTTAAATGTTCACGGTTGTAAAGATGTGAAACAACAAACACGGCTTGAACCATAAGGCATGCTACATTCTTGACTGCTCTTGGACACTTCCATGGATGTATTAAGAGAACTCTGCCAGACTCTGCCATTGTTTGATTTTGACCGCGATCTGGCGGGAAAGGTTTTCCCTGCATCCTGTGTGCACTCGCGATATTTGGGCGTAACCGTAAACTTAACCATCATCATCGCGAGAGAGGATCGTTGAGACAAGAAAGACCGTTGGCGAAAGTTGGAGGAGGTAAGCAGAAAACATTGTCATCTAACTGTGAAGCTGTTAATAAATGTCATTAACTGCTAGTCCATGAGCGATATTGTGGTAACGTTGATACTTAAATTTGTTATTTAGTGTTATTTTTCATCTCACTTAAAAAGCCGAATGAGCCTACGAACATGCTAAAGCTAACGTTGTTAACTATCTAGTCTGTGTAACTGCCAGTTAGGGAGATGGTTCAAATATAGGATATCAGGATTGAAAACTAAATGACGGTAGCATTACCCTGGGAAAGTTAAACGAAAAGTGTGCTACCCCAGGCGCTTATATGTCAGTAATATCAGCCCCTTTTACAAAGGAATGTTGCGCCGTTATTCGCTGCCATGCGGAGCTAGCTGCCATGCGGAGCTGACTGCCACTGTGGTTTTCGCTCTGCAGTTAATGTTACGTGACGGATGCCGCTCTGCCAGTGTCGGTAGTCGCACTCTCTGTCTCTCCGCTAGCTCTCCGAGCTCAGCATATAGTTATGTTCGGCTATGTGTCACTGCACCCCCGGGCCAGTAACCTACGTGCTGCCTGCACTGCAGTGACAAAGAGCCGGCTGAAAATCGGCAACGTTTTCCTTAATATTCCTCGATTTTAAATATTTATATCCACACATTTTCAGTAATAATGTTGCCAGGCACTTAATAATAATATGTGTGCCTGTCAGTGGCAAAAACAAGCACTTCAACTTTGAGTAATATAGGATAATGTAACAATTCAGTAGGGATGGGTACCGAGCCCCGGTATTAATCAAAGGAGTCCATTTTTCACAGCAATTTGTGACTGCAAAAGTTCCTGTTGCTGCTGTTCGACCGCAAGAGTGTCCTGTCTAACCGTACCTGTGTCTGCAATCCAACTTCATCAGTGAGGTAAAAGGTGTCATCTGCCATTCTCAAGTTCATGATTGAAATGTTTTTTTAATTTTTTGCTGGTGATTTTATTTGTGGGCAAATGTGGAGGTGTAAGGAGTGTAGTGAATCTCTTTCTGGTAGATATGAGTTACTAAAGCATAGGGATGCTCCGATCGATCGGTCACCGATCGAGATCGGCCGATACTCACTCTCTACCGATCGGCGCTCTCTAAACATGCCGATCGCGAGAGCCGATCGCATGACGTAAAATACATGACACTTTTCTCTGTGTGCGGCAAAACAAGCTCGCCAAAATGGCTTCACCGGTCTGGCATTATTTTAAGGTGTCCGAAAAAGACAGTAAAATAGCGGTATGCAACGTGTGTGAAGCAGAAATCCTGCAGCTCCGCCCGCTGAGACGGGCCGGTGAGCGAAACACACAAGAGTTAGACCTAACACACTTAGCTATTTCATCTACCTCTGGAACAAGCTAAACTAGTTATTATCAATATATTTATTCTTCATTGTCGGGTCACTCATTACTGGATCAGTGAGCTGCATGAGATACTGACAGGCTGTCGGGAGAGGGAGAGAGGAAAAGAGAGCCCTTCCGCTAATTTCTCCCGTGTTATTATCCAAAGTGAATGTAAACTTGAATAATGTACATCATTTGAATGTAATAATTAAGTTGCTTGTTGTTTGTGGAAGCTCCAGTGAATGAGCCCCATTAACTGAGTTTTAAACATCACTTTAAATGGAAGTGGATAAGAATGAATGTGTGAAGGAACGTCCCCTTTTTACTTTTATTGGGATATATATAGTAGACAATGAATGCTTACGGACTGCACAGTATGTGCCATATAAAAGACAGACAAATTCTGAATTTTGTATTTACAGTTGTATGCAGGAATCATAAATAAATTAGGGATGCACGATATTGGTTTTTTGAAACCGATACCGATAACTTCCTGCTTCTCAAGACCGATAATAATATAATATATATATATTAAATGTACCTGTAGTTTTTGCACACCTGGTGGTAAAAAAAGACTAGTAGTGAGCAAATGACATGAGCGTTATTACTATGAACAAAGCAAAGCCAAGAACAGTTTTGACTCTCGTCAAGCGCCATCATTTCTATGATGAAGTTAGAGATCGTTTTAGCCCTGGGGTCGTCTCTGGCAAACTTCTTGCCTTTTTCAAAAGCCTCGTCGATAGGTAAAAGCCCCGGTGCCTTTGCAGCTGGCTTTGGATTCGCCGCTAGTTTAGCAGCGCAGGCGTCTTCGTACGCTTTTAACAAACCATCGTAGCGATGGCGATGTTTCAGGTGACAAATCAGGTTGGAAGTATTATAGCTCGTTGCCTTTCTCCCTCCTCGTGGAACTTCTGCATTTGTTAATACAAATAGCAAGCGAACTATCTAACTCTGAAACTTTGAAATAGTCCCATACTACCGGCGACATGTTTGTTTACTGTCCTGGCTTCACGGCCGCACACCATTTACGTCACAGCCAGGCACGAGTTAGGGAGCGCTGGATTTGTGAAAAACTCCCCTCTTCCTAAACCACTAATACCACAGTACTGGCAAAACGGGAGGAGCCGAGTGAAAAACAAGCGCCCCTCATCCCAATCCACCCACACCGCAGTATTTTTTTCTTTTTTTTACCCAACAAATATATTGTATATTATCGGGGCTATTAATACTGTTATCGGGTTTATCGGGATAACGTCATAATTCCTAATATCGGACCGATAATTATCGGGCCGATAATTATCGTGCACCACTAAAATAAATACACGATTTATGCAATTGCATGTCTTAAACGGACTGAACTGCTAAATCAAACCTATGAACAGTGACATCAAAATAGCCAATCTGAGTTTTGTGGGTTTTGTTTTTTTGTTGCAAGTGAATGCAGAATTTAAGAGAATCACAACAATTAATTTGCAATCCAAGTTCTCCTCTTCGCTGGATATTCACTCTACAAGCCTGATCGACGTGTATACCAAGAAAGGTGGAGTTCAAGGGAAGAAGATCAAAGGCATCATGCTTCCCATAACTCAGGTATGAAAACAATGTAAAGGTGACAAAGAAACTGTAGGAGCTGTACAAAGTCTAGGATGTTCCATGAATAGCATAGCATCCGGAGCATTATGTTTTCGATATTTTTTTGACACTGAGCACCACATCCATTCCCCCAGTGGGGGTCATTGTATCAGAGTGAGCGGCATACTATTACGAAGGCCTAAAATAACGCACTACAAAGCTGTCCAGCAGTCTTTCATGGAAATGGCAGATGTTCCTACCCCAATGGTCACTGAGTGTACTGTAGGGCTGCAGCTATCGATTATTTTAGTAATCGAGTATTCTATCAATTATTCCATTGATTAATCGAGTAATTGGAAACAGATTAACTTTTTAAAGCAAAAGTATTTCTTCAATAAAAAGCCATTTTAAATATTCAAAATCAGACAACTAATTGTTTTCCTTTTTTAGAAAAATGTATTGCTTAAATTGCATAGTATATTATCTGTCCAAACTAAACCCATTTAATTAAAGTGCAATATTACATTCAGGGTTTTAAAGAAAACATTTGTAAAACAGTAACACCTGTTTGTTCTTAATGGGCTTTTTTATTGCATGTTCTCTGATCTGCATACTTAGACTGACAGCATTGACGTGAGACGCGAATGCATCCTCAAAGGTCTTTGTGTCTACTTCAACGAAGATCCAGAGCTGGTGAAGGAATACATGGTATGTTGATGTACCTTTTTTATCTTCACAAAGAGGAGGATGATCATAGTTGGAATGGATTGTGTTTCCTCTCAAACTAACCCTTAGGGAAATGTTGCCTTTACATTTTGATGATGTTGGATGTGTTCATGCTTTTTGGAAACAGTGTTGGAAAACCCAAACTACAGAAAGCTCAATATGACACATTATAGAAATGGGATGTAATGCACATCAGTGAAAATCACTCTCCTTCTTATTTGTTTTTCACAGAGCATCGACAACAGCAGTCAAACGGCAATGGCAGAGACGGTATTCGGAATATTTGTCATTCGACACGAAGGTGCAGAGCCTGGGGATGCCCCCGAGAACGTTGGGATCATTCTGGAGGGGCTCCAAGTGCTGGATGAGTTGGGAAACGTATCTTTTGCGGTGGCGATGATGTTTGCTCTCGTGTATGCTCTAAACTTGAGCTACCCTCCAGAGCTGAAGTTTACATTTGAAGCACTGCAGAAAATAATGATGGAAACAGACGATCCACAAAAGTCCTCAAAACATTGCTTTCCCGTGCCTAATGTCACTGTTTGGGATCGCCTCGTGTTCCAAACACGCAGCCATCAGAGATTCGGTGACTCACCTCTTTGACAGAAATGTTGATTATATGCAAGAAGTATAAAAGTAAGCATTCAAAGTTGGCTGTAGCATGGTTACGTGGACCTCACTGAGCAGAGGGCTGTGCGAGGAGGCAGATGTTACCATGTTGCCTTATTTGGTCTACTGTTGAAACTCAAGTTTGTTATACTGTTCACCCTAAAGTTGAAACATTTTAATATTTGGGAAGAAACTGTGTTTTTTTCAAGCATCTGTCAGTGTAAAGCATTGTTTATCTTTGCCTATATTGTGAAATATATATTCACTGTTATATTTAATAACAGTGAAAGCCAGTCTGCTTGTTGGCTGAGATGGTGTTCTTAATGGGCTTTTTTTATTGCATGTTCTCTAATCTGCATACTTAGACTGACAGCAATGACGTGAGACGCGAATGCATCCTCGTATTATATTTCATATAATATTTGGGAAGAAACTTTTTCAAGCATCTGTCAGTGTAAAGCATTGTTTCTCTTTGCCTATTTTGTGAAATATCATTTTATTTCAACATCTTGCTTTTGTGTTATGTTTCCACCCTTGAAGCTCACTAGACTGTAGACTGTTGGAATTCTGTTTCTGTTAATGGCTTTCTTTCAGCTTTAAGCAATTACGTTGACCCAACCCAGGTAAATTAAGTTGGACCAATCAAATTGCTTAATCTTGAAAGAAAGTGATTTAATCATGTGGAAATATTGTCCATGATTTAATTACGTTCATTCAGAGTTATTTCTTTGAGTGTAGGCACATTTCCATTATTAATACAAATCCAGAAACGATCAATTAAATATTGGCTACATCTAAAAGAAAGTGACCCCCACTCCTACCACCACAAAGCCCTGCAGCATGAAGAGATGAAAGCAGAAGCCTGTTAAAAGGCAAAACGCTGACAAATGGTTTGACCAGGAATGCAAGACCATCAGAAAAGACCTGAGAAAAATAGCAAATAAAAAACATCGGCAACCAAACAACCCAGCCTTACGCATTAGATACAATGACGTTTTAAACAAATATAAATGTACAATAAGGAACAAAAAACCAAATGATACCCACATGAAACTTGAGGATATTGAGAAAGGCATTGATCAAAATCAATTCTGGGATCTGTGGAACAACTTCAACAAAACAACCACAAGCATTACCCATCCAAAACGGTGACATCTGGAGAGAACATCTAGAAAGTTTGTACAAAGACATACCAATAAATCTAATGAACTCAGATCAATGTATTACAAAAGAGAAACTCCAAACATTAGAAGAAACTATTAAAGACAACCAAAAGCCCCTTGATTTCCCAATGACTTGGGAAGAGTTGACCACACAGACACAATCTCTCCGGCCAAGGAAAGCTTGAGGCCCAGACAACATTCAAAAGGAAATGCTCAGATGCAGCACCCCAGAGATGCAGGTACAGTGTTCAAGCTGTTCAGTCTCGTATTGCAGTCAGGATGTTATCATCTGGTGCAAAGAGCTCATTTCCCCCATTCATAAGAGTGGAGACAATCAGACCCCAAGAACTACCGTGGCATCTGTGTCAGCAGCTGTCCGGGGAAATTATTCTGTAGTATTCTAAATAAAAGAATACAAGATTTCCTTAACCAACAATCCATCTTGAGTAAAAATCAAATTGGCTTCCTTCCAAAACACCGCACCACCGACCATGTATATACCCTTCACACTTTAGTTAACAAACATGTACACCAAACACAACATGGTAAGATATTCACTTGTTTCATTGATTTCAAGAAAGCTTTCGACTCTATTTGGCACAAAGGGCTCCATTATAGACTTCTACATTGTGGTATAGGGGGCAACATGTACGATCTGGTTAAATCAATGTATTTAGGGAATAAGTGTGCTGTTAAAATTGGAGACAAACAAACTGAATTCTTCACCCAGAGAAGAGGCCTTCGTCAGAGTTGCAATTTAAGTCCCACTTTATTTAATATATACACTGAACAAAAATATAAACGCAACACTTTTGTTTTTGCTCCCATTTTTCATGAGATGAACTCAAAGATCTAAAACATTTTCTATATACACAAAATAACCATTTCTCTCAAATATTGTTCACAAATCTGAAAAAATGTGTGATAGTGAGCACTTATCCTTTGCCGAGATAATCCATCCCACCTCACAGGTGTGGCATATCAAGATGCTGATTAGACAGCATGATTATTGCACAGGTGTGCCTTAGGCTGGCCACAATAAAAGGCCACTCTGAAACGTGCCGTTTTGCTTAATTGGGGGCGTTTTGCAGTTCTTGCATGGCCAGCATACTCACCGGACATGTCACCCATTGAGCATGTTTGGGATGCTCTGGATCGGCGTATACGACTGCGTGTTCCAGTTCCTGCCAATATCCAGCAACTTGGCACAGCCATTGAAGAGGAGTGGACCAACATTCTACAGGCCACAATCAACAACCTGATCATCTCTATACGAAGGAGATGTGTTGCACTGCGTGAGGCAAATGGTGGTCACACCAGATACTGACTGGTTTTCGGACCCCCCCCCCCCAGACCCCCCCAATAAAGCAAAACTGCACGTTTCAGAGTGGCCTTTTATTGTGGCCAGCCTAAGGCACACCTGTGCAATAATCATGCTGTCTAATCAGCATCTTGATATGCCACACCTGTGAGGTGGGATGGATTATCTCGGCAAAGGAGAAGTGCTCACTATCACAGATTCAGATTTGTGAACAATATTTGAGAGAAATGGTTATTTTGTGTATATAGAAAATGTTTTAGATCTTTGAGTTCATCTCATGAAAAATGGGAGCAAAAACAAAAGTGTTACATTTATATTTTTGTTCAGTGTATCTGTCTCTGCGAGCTCGTCGCGTAGGCCGTCGCTCTGTACAGTGCGTCCGGAATCGATGACTGTGATGATGTGGTGGATGAAGTCGAGCGGGCTGCTTTTTGGTCTGCTTTTTGTTGTATTATTGCCCAGTCGTATTGCACTTTGTGGTTGTATTTCAGATGATTAAAGAGATTGTGTTAGCGTGTGGTGCCAACACAACCTGGTAACAAATCCTGTACTTTGTTTTGCTCCACGTCGGACTCCTGAAAGCCAAAGTACTTGCAAATAGTGGAAATAGTTTTGCCCTTCTTTTTAACGAGTTGCTGCTCTTGTTCTGACATCTTCGCTCGTGCTGAACACTCACAACACATGTCACTCCCACGTGGCCGAGTGGGCTTTTAGGGAGGGGCGAAAGCGCACCCAGCTAAATAATCGTATTTTGTCAATTATGCTGTTTTCATAATCGTCGCAAGCCATAATCGTAATCGCGATTAAAATACGATTAATTGCACAGCCCTACATCAAAGTCAAGTAAAGTACAAATATCTCAAAATTGTACTTAAGTAGAGTACTTGAAGAAGTGTACTTAGTAACTTCCCACATCTGAAATCAGATATGACTTCCAGTCATGTGATCATTTCTTAGTATTTGATCCTTCAACTTGGCCTCAGGAAATGCAAGGACTTCACAGTTTTGGCAACAAGTTTTGGAGAAAGCAAATCAGAGGCTTAAAAAGAGACCGGGAGGTGCATCTTAGGGGTTGGCGATATTGAAAAATATAATATCACAATAGTTTTCAAGCAGTATCACGATAGACGATATTTATCACGATATTTTTTCATGTCGGTTATTATGGTTATTTTGCAAGTTACTTAACAGTACAACACCTACAAGGTAACACAAACTAAAATAAAAAGGAGTAACAGACCAAAATACCATCAAGCTGGTTTTGATTCTGGAATACAGGAATTTTGATATGGCTTCAGTGCATGACATTAAGGATTTTGGGAGCTGGTCTTACTGTAGAAAATTTAGATTTTTGCAGGTCTTAGATGCTGTCTGGTTCTCTAGACTGAATTATAAGATGAACCACCACAATATTATATTGTACAATTTCAATTGTATTCTTCATTTCACTTGTTTGTTTGTTCTTGTTTGTGTTTGCTCGCTTGCATGCCCTGCATAGCTATAAGAAATACTTAAGTTGTTGGTCAAGACACTTGCCATCTGATGAAGGCAAATGCCTTCCCAGATGTAAAAAAGTAGAAAACATTACATTCAGTTATAACTGCGAAAATAAACATTATTTACACTATTATGGCCCCTGTTAAAAATGTTTGTAATGTTATCTACTGTAAGTTGGTCGAACGAATGCCTCCTCATCCGGAAGCTGACCGAGCAGACCCGAGCAGCAGTCGAGAGGAGCCGAGCGCATCCGCGAAGCACACAAAATGGCGACGTCAGAGTTCCCGTTAGCTGGCAAATCGAAATCTCTTCGGTCAAAATGTCCGGTCAAAATTATTTCCCTTTAGCGCAATATTGCTTCAGTTGAGCCACTTATGTGACAGACAAGAAAGTATGTGACAGACAAGAAGAGTCCATTCTAATGTCTAACACTTAATGTGGAGAAAGAGATGTCCTGGATGGGTTGATTGTGCGTTGATCTGTTGGTAATGCCTCAGGGTTCCGGTGGGCATGTAAACAAATGCATAATACTAAGCTATACTTTGTGGCCTCACCCGGTTGCATAGCGACACTTATTGTTTAGTTGTCTTTTAATAAGCAGGTAGTCATATCATTAGCTAGAACTAGCTGGATCTGATCGATATGGACATAAACGCGAGTGAAGTCTAATCTGACGGGAGAGAGAGATCAGCTGCTGCTGACGAGTCGACACGCAGCTCTGCATGATTACATGCAGCGGTGAGCAGAACAAAACACACTTCAGGTTAGAATATCACACGTAGCTATTT